ACATTTACTGTGACCAAAACCAAGTTTGTGGATGGCACTCTGTGCCAACACAGAAGGAAAAGAGAAGCACTGCCCTCCTTCCTCTTTTATCCATTCTTCCAACAACAGTCTCACCTGTGCTCCTATTCCAAGCTCTGGCACTGGGCTATCAAGGATGTGTTAACCCACCTGCAATCCTTCATAACAATTTAGAGGTCAGGGTAGAAAGGGAAATAGACTGTGCTGCAGGGTCAGAGCTACACAGACTAAAGCCAAAGCATTGCAAGCACTTCTTCAGGAAACTTTATGGCTCTGGGGTCATTTTCAAGTAAGTACCTGGCTGTCCAGTCTTCTCAGATTTCCCCAGTCAAAAGCCTGGTTGAGACACTGGGTATTTGACAAAGTTAATTTAACAGACGTATTAGCGATTGATTCCTCTAGGTTTTCAGAGCTGCATTTCTATATAGAGGACCATCATCATAATCTCTGCTTCTGAGCCACAGTAGTAACTCAGGTCTCCAGAGATAAACTCACCTTGGGTTACTTTTCTTAATATGCCTCTGCATTTTTTTTTCCTCTCTAAGGCTAGTAAAACACATGACCATGTAGAGAATTTTACTTCACTTTCTGTAGAACTGATGTTGAAGTACTGTCCATGACATGATTTTGTATTTCATATGAGTAAATATTAGTTGCCAGGTACCATATAAGCACTCTACATATGTTATCTCATCTACACTTTCCTACATGACACCCCAAGATCCTTTTTTGCTTTTTCTGTTAACTTGGCTATTACAAAGCTAAGAGCTAAATTAAATACTTGCAGCAGTAAGCACTTAGAATTTTAGTTTAATTATCTTTCTCCCTCTACATGATGTTGATCTTTCTTCCCTTCCGATTTTTAACAGTCTTATTATTTTGTAGGATTTTTACTATGCATTTACTCAGATACATTTCTGAAAGTTGATTCTCCATAAACAAAACAAATTACCATAATTATCAGTTGTAATTTCCTTTCATTCCCAATTGGCAAGTGTTTTCATGAATAATTCATTTGAAGATGACCCTTTGGGTATCACACTCCGGCCGCCTCAAAATGCAGATAATACAATATTTCCCACAACTGTACGGTACAGAATGTTTATGAAAGGACAAGAAGGGCGAATGGGAAGAAGTTGATTGACTTAATTTAAAACCTAACTAACAGGTTATTTCTAAATCTATCAACAAGGACTATTTCTATCTTATGTTGGATCCTGCCGGTCCCATTTTTCCCCTCTCCAACTGCCATTTTTGCCATTTTTGTGGACTAAACTACACCACCCTATGCCCTTGGTCACCTCTGGACTGCCAAAGCCAGAGGACTGCCAAGACCTTCAGAGTGAAAAGGCACTGCTATCACTCAGTGATGTACCGTCTCTGGAATTTCTCTCAGTACTGACAATGTCTCTAGAACGCATAAAAATTCGCTGAAATTCAGGGAGTTGAATGTCAATGTCTTGAGGGAATCAAGGTAGCAGGTAAGATAACTCCACTGCTGAGAATTTCCGTGTACTCAAGACAAATACCCCTGCAGGAGCTTATAGAAATAACTCTGCAGTGTTACTATACAAAAGGACTGGGCAGCTGTTGCCAGAGGGAGACACAGAGAAGGACAGGTACCCACACAGAGACGGAACCATACATGTATGGTGTGTGTCCAGGGTGTGCACACACACCATGGATTTTGGCATGCCCAAATGGCGCCTACTGGGAATGCTTAGTCAGCCATTTGGGAAACAGAATACTTGGGTACAGCCATTAACTTGTCCAACAAATATTTCACCAGCACCTACTGTATGCCAAGTACTCTTCTAAACGCTGGGGAATCAAAAGTGAATGAAGCAGTCAAGACCCTTTTTTCATGGACTTCATCTTCTAGCAGAGAAAATAGGTTGTTAACAAGCACCAAATGAAATACACAATTCAGGTTGCAAATAAGACTAGAAAGGAGAAAGAAGGAAACAAAAAATCCAGTGTGATAGTTCCAAAAAGACATAAGGAACTGCCTTTGCTTAAGTGGTCAAGGAAGGGCTTTCTAAGAAGGGGAGGTATACTCTTACACTAGAATGAGCTAAAGAAACCGGTCACTTTTACTCTGATTTCCATCAAAAAGATGAGCTTACTCAAAGAAAAAGAATATGCAATCTTATTCGTGGTGCCACACACCCCATGCTGCAAACAACTGCAATACCCAGAGAAGGAAAGGAATGTTCAACTTTCTCTATTCTTAAGATTTTCAGAAATCACTTTTCCCCAAAGATGCTGGAGTATAAGGAAGTTGCCTTAATTCATCTGTAATTACAGCAGAATTACTAAAAAGACGTTAAAAGGAGAAAAATAGAATATTTATTCTTTTTTATAATGTCAGTTACTTTATAAACAATACTCCAGTGCCAACAGGAATTGCTTCATAATAAAATCCAAAACAATTTTGAAGCTATGCTCAATATCATTTACTTTTCACTCATAAAATAAAGCCAAATTGTAATTACTAGCAGATGTTTCCACTTTCAACATATGATAAACCTTTGAAATTAATTAAAAAGAAGTTTCCAATAGATTGGGCATCTGTTTAATATGCACAAATAATAAAGGGTTGTTCACCAATCCCTTCACATAAAACATCCTATATACAACACTACTGAATTTCTTTTAAGGCCCATTAAAAGTCAACTGACATGAAAATATCCCAAAATCATCCACTGCTCAAAATACTTCGCAATGAAACACCTTTTTCATTAAAGTTTCTTAGCTTATGATTTCTTTCAGAATTGCAAATGGTTAGGCAGAAGTAAATTGGGAAGCAGATCACTCACCATAAATATTCAGAATGAATCATGGAGCATGTTCACTAAAATGCAATTTTTATTCCTTTGCAGTAAGTATGTGCGCTGTATTATTACAGTGTAAATAAGCACACTAAACCAAGGTCAAATAATGTAAAGATATTGCTCAACGGAGCTACATTACCTAATACACTGATCATTAAAAATTGCTGTTCTCTTATTAATACACTGTACAAGAAATGCTTCCTTGCCTTGCCTTCAGAAGAGGTCTAAAAAATTGAATCTCCGTACTTCTTAAGATCCATAACATAGTAAGAGGAAGATGTTATTTGTAATGTAGGTACGGATTAGTCATAATGTTACAATTTTCACAAATTTTAAACGTGTGTGGAGGCAGAAGGAAGGACAGTCTGAATTTGGCTGTTCAGGTAAAATCTTTTTGACTCACTTTACGAATTGTTACTCTTCTAAATTTGCCGTTTGAGGAAAATGATACACTTACACTTAAAATAAAAAAACAAAACAACCATCGCCCCCACAAACACGCCCTACCTTCTTTAAAACAAATCAGAAGGCTTAGGAATTAGCTCCAATAATAATCCCACAACGGTCACTGGGGGATCCTCCTCCAAAATGACAACCGCAGCTAAGAAGGGTGAAAGCCCCGAGGAATAAAAATTCCCCCAAGTGAGTCCTTTCGAGAGGTGGAGGGAACACAGCTGGCACAACTGGAAGCACAAGCAATTCGAGGCGACCCAGAGGAAGATGCATCGTCACGAGAAGCAAAGCAAAGGAGCGCGCGACTCTGGAGGCGAGCGAAATCGCCACAGATTTCCCGAGGAGGCGGAGAGAAGCCGAGTCGCCAGGCGCCGGGCACAGCGCAAGTCAACAACATTCAGGATAATTCTTCTTTCCAAACCCTCCAGTTCCGGGCCAGGACCGAAAGCGGGGCTGGGAGACCCGCAGTCCCTTTAAACTGCCCCCACCCGGTGCCCGCCAACCTTTTCCGAACCCCCGTGTCACACAACTTCCTCATCATGGAAACTTCCACTTGGCTCCGCGCTGAGAATGCCAAACTCCATTTCACAAGGATCCTGTCAACAACTGCGCTTGGGGTTTGAGGAACACAGCCGCTCCTGCGGCGGGGGCCCCGGCCACGCCGCTGCCCACTCCCCACGCGCGGCTCCCCGCCTGCGGCCGCGCACTGTCCCGGCGCA